CTCCTATTTTGTTACTTTATGTTCCCCAGATGAATGCAATCTATGTCTATCCCTTTCTTTCTGAGTCATTTCGCTTAACATGATACTTTCCATGTGGTACCACTTGTATGTAAATTTTGTGACTTCTAGACAAAAATCTTGGGGGGAAATTGAGAGCGGCTAGGGACAGAACAGTGGAGAGAGGGATTGCCTTTCACACAGATGACTCAGGCCAGAACTTGGCAGACATAGGGTCCCCTGAGCACCGCCAGAAGTAACTCCTTAGCACAGAGCCAGGAGTAATCCCTGAGCACTACCAAGGGTGGCCCAAAAGCCTAAACAAGCTCCAGGGTAAGTGGTGACCAGATGAGTCCTAGAGCAGCAGAACGGGACTTACCTTGCAGGCCGACAGCCCAGATCGACACCCTGCAACCCCCGGGATTTGCCCAAGACCTCCCCCCTGCCCAAGTAATATCTGATTAAAGAGTCATTTTGGGTGTATGCACAACCGATATGTGTGTAGTGCCTGGAGGTGAGTCACACCCACTTGGCACGGGATCACATGGTTATGGTGTGTAGGCTGTATTACAGTACATGTACGTGCATCATTCATGGGGAGAATATGAGGAGTTGCACACTCGTGTATGTATAGTGTGTCTAGTCTCTGTACACTCTATGGAGCATGAAACATGAACAGTGTGAGCTGTGAGACAGCACGTGGGCACTAGCATGTCTGCAGAAGCAGTGGGTTCATCCCACATGTGTGTATGACGGTGCGTGTTGAGCGCTCATGGAGATTGTTGGTCTCCACATATCAGGCACATCCTTGGCAAATGCCCAGAGGCTTGGTGTGTCTTGTGCTTTGCTGTACCCTGGACAAAAAGGAGCGTGTGGGTTGATGGGGACAGGGTGAGGGGCCGTTATACCCCGCTGTTCCCGTGTCTGGGAACGGTCACTGTCATCCCCGGAAGCACCTCCCTGCGGGCTGGTGGCTGGGTTCTGAGCATCAGCTGTGTCTTACAGGCCACGGGCTGTGGCTATGTGGGGTGGCACCAGCGAAAGTGGGGGGCAGCCAGGGGGTGCTCAGGGTGACAAGCCACATACTGAAGCCACAGAGAGCCCTTAGGGGACAGCTTGGTTTCTGATAAACAGCTCATGTAGAAATATAAATATATATGTATAATATTTTTGTATATTTGTTGTTTTTCTATTTTGGGGTTTCACCTGGCCATGCTCAGGGCTTACTCTTGGCTCTGTTCAGGGATTGCTCCTAGCAGGCTGGGAGACAAGGTGGGGTGCAGGGAATCAAACCCAGGAGCACCACATGCAAGGCAAGCGCCCTCTTCACTGACCCATGGCTCTGACTCAAAGAGCTAATAACTTAGGTAATCAGTCATGAAATAATAGGCTTTTACTTATGGTTGGGGCTGGAGCAATAGCACAGCGGGTAGGGCCTTTGCCTTGTACGCGGCTGACTGGGCAGACTCGGGTTCGATTCCTCCACCCCTCTTGGAGAGCCCGGCAAGCTACCGACAGTATCTCGCCCACACGGCAAAGCCTGGCAAGCTCCCCATGATGTATTCGATATGCCAAACACAGTAACAAGTGTCACAATGGAGACATTACTGGGCCCACTCGAGCAAATCGATGAACAAACGGGAGGACCGTGACCATGACCATTACTTATGGTTGCAGGGGCACACTTGGCATTGCTGAGGGGTCACTCCTGGCTCTGCACTCATAAATTGCTATGGGTGGTGCTTGGGGGACCCTGTGGGATGCTGGTGATTGAACCTGAGTCAGTTGTGTACCGGGAAACACCCTCCCTGCTGTGCTACCACTCCAGCTCCAATAATCATATTTTTTTAAATTTTATTTATTGAATCACCATGAGAGAAGTTACAAAGCTTTAGGGTCTAAGTCTCAGTCATACAATGAAGCACCCGTACCTTCACCAGTGCCCATTCTCCACCCCAAAACTCAAGTATACCCCCCATCCCACACCCTCCGTCTACCTGTGGGGCAGATGATTTCCACTTTACTCTCTACTTTGATCACATTCAATATTTTGACACCAGACCCACCATTATTATTTGAGATCTTACCCCAACACTCAGATCTGCTGAAAAGGCAACAGTAGACAATTTGTTTTCTATTGCTGATAATGAATAACATATGATGTCGTATGGTTGCAGTAGTGGCCACGCGATTTAGAAATTCCGAAATTTTAACACTTAAATCTGGAGGGATTTCTGCCAAAATCTCCTGGGTTTCGAAATTTGCTCCTGAGTCACTGGGATCATGGCCGTTAAGCAGCTTGATCAGGAGCCAGAAAGGCCGTTTGTGGGTGATGACTTGGGGTCTCGTTGGGGTGGGGAGGACAAGACCGGCTCCACCCCCATCCCATGAGGCCCTGCGTGTCTCATCACTGTGGGCCCAAACCTGATTGTTCAATGGCCTCTGGAGGATGACAGCCACCGAGCCGCCAGGGGGAAGCAGGCAGAGGGCCTTACAAGCGGCCAACATGGCCGACCCGAGTTCGATTCCTCCGCCCCTCTCGGAGATCCCGGCAAGCTACGTGAGTATCTCGCCCGCACGGCAGAGCCTGGCAAGCTCCCCGTGACGTATTCGATATGCCAAACACAGTAACAACAAGTCTCATGATGGAGACGTTACTGGGCCCACTCGAGCAAATCGATGAACAACGGGAGGACCGTGACCATGAGATATAATAAATATATAATTAAATATATATATTTTTAAATGAGAATACCATTTAAATGAGAATATATCCTGGAGATGCAAAAAAGTATAGTAGAAATGACATCTGAACTTGTATGTTTATTGCAACACTGTTTACAATAGCCAGAATCTGGAAAAAAACCCGAGTGCCCGAGAACAGATGACTGGTTAAAGACACCTTGGTACATTTACCCAATGAAGTACTATGTAGCTGTTAGAAATGATGAAGTCATGAAATTTACATACAAGTGGTACTACATGGAAAGTATCATGCTAAGCAAAATGAGTCAGAAAGAGAGGGACAGACATAGAAAGATTGCTTTCATCTGGGGAACATAAAGTAACAAAATAGGAGACTAACACCCAAGAATAGCTGAGATAAATACCAGGAGGCTTACTCCATGGCTTAGAGGCCAGTCGCACACTCTAGGGGTAAAGGCAGCTCAGATAGAGAAGGGAGCACCAAATAAAGGGTGTTGGGAAGATCTGCCAAGGATGGGAGATGCATGCTGAAAGTGAACTATAGACCGAACATAATTGCCACTCAATCCCTCTTTTGCAAAGCATGGCACCCAAAAGGAGAGAGAGAGCAGAGGGGAGTGCCCTGCCACAGAGGCAGAGTGGGATGGGGAGATGGGGGGTCGGAGGGATACTGGGATCATTGGTGGTGGAGAATGGGCACTGGTGGAGGGATGGGTACTCGATCATTGTGTAACTGAAACCCAAGCACAAACATTTGTAAGTCTCCAACTGTACCTCATGGTGTTTCACTAATAAAAATTTAAAAAATAAATAAATAAATAAAAAGTAACAGCACTGTAAAAAAAAAAAGAAAAAACTTTGGTACATCTAAACAATGGAATGCTCTACAGCTGTTAGAAAAGATAAAGTCATGAAATATACATAGAAGTGGATAAACATGGAGAGAACCAAGCTAAGTGAAATGAGTCAGAAAGAGAGGAACAGACATAGAAGGACTGCACCCTTTTATGGAATATCAAGTATCCGAATGGGAGACTAACACCCAAGGATAGTAGAGATAAGGACCGGGAGGATTGCTCCACAGCTTGGAAGCCTTGCTGGGGGAAAAGGCATCTCTGATAGAGAAGGGAACACCAAGTAAAGGATGCTTGGAGGACCCACTCGGGATGGGAGATGTGTGCTGAAAGTAGACAATAGACCGAAAATGATGACCACTTAACACCTGTATTGCAAACCAGAGCACCTAAAAGAAGAGAGAGAGTAAAAGGGAATGCACCTGCCTCAGAGGCGGAGGGGGAGATTGGGTGGGGGTAGTGGGAAAGATACTAAGAACATTGGTGGTAGAGAATGAGCACTGGTGGAGGGATGGGTACTCGATCAATGTATGACTGAAACGTTAAGCACGAAAGTTTGTAAGTCTGTAACTGTACCTCATGGTGACTCATTAAAAAATTTTTTAAAAATGCTGTTTAGGGATACACATATGGGGGGGGGGATGAGATGGAGGGTTGGAGCAATAACATAGCTGGGAGGGCACTTGGCTTGCATGTAGCCAACCCGGGTTCCATGCCTGGCATCCCATAGGAATCCCACCCAGAGTGATTCCTGAGTGCAGTAGGCCCTGAGCATCGCTGGACGTAGCCCTGAAAAGAGACACACAGAATTGAGCAGGGGCCCAGGAGACAGCTCAAAGGGCTTCGCATGAAGGAATCTGGGTTTGATCCCTGTGCCTCCTGGTTCCACAAGCAGCATTGGGAGTAAGCTCTGAGCACAGAAGTAGCCCCTGACCGCAACTGCGTGTGCCCACCACAGCCACCCCACAAACAGAAACCAGCCCCCCAAAGAGCACAATGGATGTGCTTTAGTGGTAGATGTGGAAGTGTACTTTTGTTTTGGGGCCACGCCTAGAGGTGCTCAGGGCTTACCCCTGGTTATGTGCTCAGGAGTGAATCCTGGCAGGCTTGGAGCAAACACGGGTCTGCTGACGGACAAGGCAAATACCCTATCCGCTATCCTATCCCTCCAGCCACGAAACTGTACTTTTTAAAGAATCCTTTGTTTTTAAATATCATTGTTTCTAAAAAAATTGAGTCACAGTTACAAAGCTGTTGATGATTTTCAGTCACATCATTTTCCAACACCAGAAATCAGGTTTTTTGTCACGAAGCACTTTAGGTTATAGCCATCGGATTTATTCCTTCTCGGAGCCCGAGCTCAGATCCAGAAGTCTTTTAATTTCTGCTCTCCCCAGAGTGATCCAAGCGACCGGCTTTGCCTCTGTCAAGCTCAGGCCTGAGATGGAGCACATGAGCCCCGGTACCGACGCTCACCAGCAGAGGGCGCGCTCACCCGACAACGTTGGCAGCCGCCAAGGTGAGGTTCTTGGGGACCTCACACGGCCAGAATGTCAGGGAGGAGCCACTGGGTTTCTCAGGGACGAAAGATGGGCGGGAGGAGCGCATGGCTTCAAAATGGGGATGTTGAAAGATAGAATTCTAATGAGGGGTTTATTTTGACAAGCCCCGAGGTTCTGTTACGGTGGGCTGACACTCCCAGTGGGTGGCATTTATCTCAAATGCTTCTTCAATTTTTGGAGTGGTTGCACCTGGCGGTGCTCAGGACTGACTCCTGGCTCCTCACTTGTGGATCACTCCAGGCGTGAGGACCCTCTGAACCAGGGTCAGCAGGCAAACGCCCTCCCCGCTGTGCTCTCACTCCCACTCTAGGTCCTGATTTCAATGAAACACTCAGTCCCAAAGTTGCTAAGAGTTGGCAGTTGGCAGTTGACACCTTGAAGTCCTCCATCGGCCCACAGAGACTGGCCTCTGGTGACTGTCCCTCACCCAAGGTGACCCTGGTGTCCACCAGTGTGGCAGTTCTATAGGGTCACTCCTGCTCCAGCACTGCCACTCTCCATGGGACCAGTTCAGGGCCTGGTGATGACATTCCCTGTCCTGAGTCCTCTCATCTGTTCCTGGAGTCACCAGGCCCAGGACTCTCCTCTCGGTCCTGCAGGGCCCCACCTGCAGTACAGACAGTCGCCACCTTTGTCCAGGCACCAGGCACAGCGCTGAGTGTTTATGTGTCTGTGTTGGTGTGTATGTGTGTATGTGTGTAATAGTATGTGTGCATGTGTGTATGCATGCATGTGTGTTCAGGTATGTGTGTATTTGTACATGGGTGTGAGTGTTAGTGTGTGTTAGTGCGTGTGTGTGCATGTGTGTGTCTGCATGTGTGTGTGTGCGTGTGCATCTGTGTGCATGTGAGTGTGTGTGAGTGTGTATTTGAATGAGTGTGTGTCTGTGAGTGAGAGTGTGTGTGTGTGTGTGTGTGTGTGTTTGTGGGTGTTGGGTCTCCAGTAGTGGTGAAATTAGTCTCTCGCAGCTTCTGTCCTCCCTCCTGCCTACTCTTAACTGTGGCTAGCTCCAAGAGCCTGCCTGGTGTTGACCATCCAAGTGACCACTGCTGTGCCCACTTCCCTGAAAGCCAGGTCTGAACCTGGTCTTGCGGCTGGGATAAACACCACTTCCTTTGCCAGCTCCATGGCTCTCAGCCCCTACTTCCCTTTCCCCTTTCTATGTTCCTTTGGATGGCGGGCTCACCTGGCAATGCTCAGGTGTCACTCCTGGCTCTGTGTTCAGGGATCACTCCTGATGGTGCTCAGGGAGCCCTATGGGGTGCTGGGGATCGAACCTGCGTCAGCCAAGTACAAGTCAATTGTCCTCCCTGCTGTGCTTTGCCCTGGCACCGGCCCCTTCTTTCTTCTGATCTCTCCTCTATCTATCTCTCTCCTGCTTCCCTCCCTCCCTCTTTCTCTCCTGTCTCTCTCCCCTCTTCTTCTTTCTCTCCCTCGCCCTCTTTCCTCTTTCTTGCCTTTCTCCCTCTTCCGCATCTTCTCTCTCACACTCTCTGTTCTCACGCTCCCTCTCCGTCTCTCTCTTTCCACCTTTGGAGTCTGGCAGGGGAGAGAAGCTGTCTCCCTTTCTTCTGTGCCCTTGGGCCCCTTGCCTTGGTGGCCTCCTGGGTAAAAATGTGCCTTTCTGATCCGATAGAGAAGGGAGCACCAAATAAAGGGTGTTGGGAGGGTCCTCCCAGGATGGGAGAAGCATGCTGAAAGTAGACTATAGACCAAACATGATTGCCACTCAATGCCTCTTTTGCAAACCACAGTACCCAAAAGGAGAGAGAGAGAGAGAGAGAGAGAGAGAGAGAGAGAGAGAGAGAGAGAGAGAGAGAGAACAAAAGGGAATGTCCTGCCACAGAGGTGGGGTAGGATGGGGGTGGGTGGGAGGGATACTGGGATCATTGGTGGTGGAAAATGGGCACTGGTGGAGGGGTGGGTACTCGATCATTGTATAACTGAAACCCAAGCACAAAAATTTCTAAGTCTACAATTGTACCTCATGGTGTTTCACTAATAAATTTGTTTTAAATGTGCCTTTCTCACCACCTTTGTCAGAAATGCAGCCGGTTATTCATTTCTCCCGTGTTTGTCTTCACCGGCTTCTCCATCCCTCTGGAATATCTAGAGATGGTCTTGTCATGTCCCAGAATAGCCTCTCGTTCTATGCCCAGGGGGCCCACCGGGGGTCAGTCTGCCCCTTCACCAACTCCCCCCCATCCCATAGTCACTTTTCCTCCTTGGCTAATGCTCTCTGGAGCACATCCTTCCCCCAGGGCCCCTGGGGGCTCTCAGAAATAGCAACCTCTGTGGAGACCATCCTCACGGACACAGTTCAAGTTCTTTCCCACGAGGGAGACAGAGGCAAGGACTCCTCAGCTTCTCCACGTTAAATTAAGATGTGCCAGTATCTCCCCAGACCCCACGCTCTGCGTCTCTCTGGCTGCTGCCATTGGTGTTCCGTTCTTCAGGGCTGTGATGGTAATTTGGTCAGGCATCAGTTCCTCAGAGGGAAGACTTTTCCAGAACTCAATTGGCAGCTGGAATGCAGAGGGAGCCACTACTGGGGTTGAGCCCGAGGCATTTCTACAAGTGACCCCTGGTAGTTGGCTCAGAATGTTCCAGCACGAGGCACCTAGGATTCATCCGAAGCTTCAGGATAGGTCCATCAGCGATGGTCCATTCTTGGGTGGAAATGGCAGAGGGCACCTTGTTCCTAGAAGCTAGGTTGGGAGCGAGCTCAGGGATCCGGTTGCATTTTTATTTATTTTGGGGCTTTTTGGGTCACACTCAGCGATGCTCAGGGTTTACTCCTGCACTTGGGAAGACTCCTGCTGATGCTCAGTGACCCTATGAGATGCTGAGGATTGAACTCAGGTCGGCAGCATGTAAGGCAAATGACCTCTGTACTGTGCTATCACTCAGACCATGGAAAATTTATTTTGGTAAAATATGTTTCTGTCCTTCTGGAAGGCCAAAGAATAAACTTCTAGACTTGTGACCTTGGCTCTCTGAAAAGAACCCAAGCATTTGGTTTTGTTTGTTTGTTTGTTTTTGGGTTGTTTTGGGGGTCAGATCCGGGTTGGTCATGTGCAAGACAAGCGCCTTCCCTGCTGTGCTCTTGCTCTGGCCCCTTGGGGATGTTTTTAAGGGATTCACTGCCCAAACACTGCACCGTTGGGTCCTGCAGGCACAGTCCTGGCTGGATTATACTCACATGCAGAAATGGTTTCAAAACCCGTGAACATGGCTCTTCCATGCTGAGGGTGAAGAAGCCTAAAGAACACAGTCTAGGCAGAACCTTGGCTGACCTCTGTCTGCCGTGTCGATGAGCTTGAATCACACTGCCTCAGACAGAGGAGAAACAGCATTACCTCCTTACAACCTGTGGAGACCGCCAAGAAGCAGCTTGCTCTGGTCTTTTTGTTTTGTTTTTTGTTTTTTGGGGTCTATCTCTTGATAGACACATCATGCGACAACTGGAATAGGAAAGAATGGGAGTGAAGACAGACAGTCGGCAACTACACCACCTCCGCTTTGCTGATGACATCGTTCTAATAATACCAAACATCAGCCAAGCGGCACAAATGCTGACCGACTTCGACCGTGAGTGTGGAAAGGTCGGACTACAGCTGAATCTTACAAAGACAATGTTTATGAGAAACAGCCTCGTTCCTGACACTCCATTCGCTCTCAACGGAACGACCATCTCCGAATGCAACAGCTATGTGTACCTAGGTCGAGAAGTCAACATGACAAATGACCTGGCACCCGAGCTGCGCAGGAGGAAGAGAGCGGCTTGGAATGCCTTCAAGAGCGTTGAAGAAATAACTAAGAGGACAAAGAACCTCCAGCTACGAGCACATCTCTTCGATTCCACTGTTCTTCCTGCATTAACATATGCCTCAGAGACCTGGACCCTACGAAAACAGGATGAGAACGCTATTCGGGTCTCTCAAAGAGGAATCGAAAGAACTATGCTTGGAATATCACGATTCACTCAAATGAGAGATAGAATCCGGAGTTCTGATCTTCGTGAACACTCAAGAATCAGGGACGCTGTCTCATTTGCCAAGACATCAAAAATCAGATGGGCTGGACACGTAATGAGGTTTACAGACAACCGCTGGACTAGAGCCATTACTGACTGGATTCCACAGGACATCAAAAGATCGCGTGGATGCCCACCTGCAAGATGGTCAGACTTCTTCGTCAAGACCCTGAATGATCGGTTTGAGGCTCTGCATGTTCCTAGAACAAACAGATGCCATTGGGCTACACTAGCCCGCAACAGGGATGAATGGAGACGTTACTGGCACCCGCTCGAGTAAATTGATGAATAACGGGGGATCAAGTGATCAAGTGATCTCTTGACAAGGACTCCGAACCCCTATTACAGCAGGTGTTTAGATCTTTGACCACCTAAGCAAAGTTAGCAGGTGCTAACAGGAAGAGGTTGCAAAGCAGGTTGGGTGGCTTACTGATTAATGTAAGGGGTTAGGGTTCTCAGGGGAGAAGGGGGGTGTCCCTGTAACTCTAACCACAAACTTCGGGAAAACAGGAACACAGTTTTTCAGGGAAACAGAATCTTAGGAAACAGAATGTTTGTTTTGCTGAAGTGCAGCCTGTCTTGGCTTCCCGTTCTGCCTTACTCCAGCCCTTCAGGAGAAGGCGGGAAGGGACAGTGGGAGAATGAAGAAGGAGGAGGAGGAGGAGGAGGAGGAGGAGGAGGAGGAGGAGGAGGAGGAGAAGAAGAAGAAGGAGGAGGAGGAGACAGGGGTTCCTCTGCAGAGCTCAGGGGCAGCAGCCAGCCCTGGGGATCCAAGTTCGATGAGGACCCGCTAAACCACCACTCTTTGGTCCTCTCACCTCTGAAGAGCCCGCTGCACCTCACCCCTTCCTGCTCTCACGTCTGGTCTATCTCTGTTTGCCTCCTCTCTTCCCAGCCCGTTTGGTTCACTCGGGATCCCCC